TAGAAGGTAACAGAAGGGAACAGAAGGGAATAGAAGGGAACCAAAGTGAACAGAAGGGAATAGAAGCGAATAGAAGGAAATTATTAGTTAGAATTATTTTAGTTACTTATCGTTTGTTCAAGGAGATTTACGAATAAAATTTTGGTTCATTGATTTGTTTTACATAATAATCCACTTTTTGAGTGAACATTAATATTATAAAAAAGAAAGTTTACGTGCGGAATTTAGAGCTATATGTCTTTTATCAACACGGCGTAAAATACTGAGCTTGGTACACTGGTGTCCCAATACGCAGCAGTGGAATATCACTGTTGGTACACATATGGCCCAATACGCGGGGAACGTGTTAAGTGACAAATTACCCGGCGATACGGGCCGAATATAGGGAAGTGTGAAATCAAGACTGACGGTGAAATGGAAAAGTTAGTTAGTTAGTTTAGTGGCCAAATGTTTACTAGCGCTTCAGCTATTTAACTATCTCGCACCAAAAGTCAAGATGAACATCACCGTAGAGGTGGAAGGTCTCAACTCTCAATTAGTCATCACCCACAAGGGGTGGAAGGTCTCAATTGTCTAGCCCGCAGAAGCTGGCTCGAAGGAAGCAGCGTTAGCATCTCAAAGAGACGAAGTGACAAGGAGGGACAGGTGAGAAGCAACAGAAACTAAGACACTCGAACAAGAGGTCGCTTACACGGGACGTCGGCCGCCCGCACGAGAGAGACAGAGAAGGGAAATGTAAGGAATCCTACCTACATTATAACTTAACCCCACAACTGAGACCTACAGTAAGACACCGTGAGCTCAGCGGTGGGGCGCTCAGGAACAATCCCCCTAGGAACGCGAAATCTCATAGGACTTCTGACGAGCACAGACACGCGTCAGAAGTCCCTCCTGAGGGGGTGAAATGGAAAAAAAACTCGCAAACAAAGGTAAAATTAAAAAAAATTATAAGCTAAAAAAATCACCGTTTGCTAGTTAGGAATGTATATTCAAAATTTCGTTCAAATCTGTTCAATAGTTTGGAAGAAATTCTTTGATCACTGCGAATTTCGGCCTGTTTTGCAATATACGCGTAACTCACGAATGGAAGTGACATTTAAAAAAATTACAAGCTAAATAACACCGTTAGGTTCTGATGAATACATGTTCCAAGTTTCATAGAGCTGCGTTCATTAGTTTTGGAGATACTACTTGATAATTGAATTTGGAGATTGGTCGAGAGACCGGCCACGAGTCCGGCCGTAAATTCGCCCGAGACGTCCTAGGTTTCTAGTGCTGAAACAGTTGAAAAACATATCAGTTCACAAATGGGATTCTACTTGTGAAATACACATTTGTGTTTAACCTTTCTCTTTTAAAATTGCAGCGTACTAAATTTCAAGAAAGAGGCGTATGTCTGTGGGGGGCGCTAGAAATTCACTAGGGAGCCAAAGGGGGCGCCAGCCTGAAAAAGTTTGGGAACCACTGCTTTAGAGGAAGGGGTGGTGCTACCCAGGGACTCCGTGAACTTGACCCAACTCTCCTTTTTCTTCTTCAGGGCAATATGTTTTGCCATTGCAACACATCGTTTGTAGTGTATCAGGTTTGTGGGTGTTGGGTGCTTCCAGAGAATGTTCTTTGCTTTTTTCCTTTCTTCAACAGCAGCTCGGCATTCCTGGTCCCACCATGGGGTGATTCTACGGCATTGTCTTCTAGTGGATGTCCTTGGGATGCATTCGTTAGCAGTGCTGATGATTTTTTGAGTTATGTGCTTGTTGAGGGTTTCCACATCTAGGGGATTCATTGTTTTNGCAGGGGTTGGAACCTTTAATGCACGTCATCCTCGAGAGGATATTCGGGCTTAGACTGCGTATATCGATGATACGCTTCGTATCATCGATACATACATCAAGTCCTGTCTCTTATACACATCTAGATGTGTATAAGAGACAGGGTTCGCTGTATGGAGTTTAAATTGTTGGGAGCCATTTAAGTTTTCTTTTTTTTTGTGATCCTGGTTGATTTTATTTGTCTCTTCTGAGCAGATTGCAATTCTTCTACTTTGGATGAGGGTGCACTCTTAGGCAGTTTCAGTTTAGGGTACTCATCTTTTTTCTTGTGGTTCTCTGTGTGCAGGTCAGATGAGCCAGCCTTGCGTCTTTTGTTGATTTGCACATCTTTGATTGAGGAGTCCTGGATTATTTTTTCTAATTGTTTTGCCACTGAAATAGGATCCAGGGAGATTTTTTTTGTATCGGGAGGTAGTTGTTTAATTATTACTGTGCTGTTGTTTCCAGATGATTCTGCACTTGCATTTGTAGGAAAGGATTTGAGCTGCATAGGTTCTGCAGGTCTATAGGTTTTTTGTCTATTTGTAGCAGGTGAGCTGGTGAAGCTATCTGATTCTTGTTCGGATTCTGTTGCAATTGGTCGTTTGCGCCCACTGTATTTAAGGGAAGCTTTGGTAGAGCTGATGCGTGGTCCATCTGTTGTGTTGGCTTCAGGTGCCCTGGGTTGTGGTTGGTAGCAAGTAATGTCCTCGTCTGAGAGTGGGTGAGGGCCTGTTCCAAGCTGGAGAGGAGGGCCAGTTACGCCAGTAGAGCCTTGTGATGGTGTTTCCAGCATGATGTTCTCATTATCACTATTAAGCATGTCACTGACATCATCTGATGCAGACTCTGACATAGTGCCTGTACTTTATTTAAACACTGTTATCACACTATAAACAACAAACATGAAATCGAGGCTAGGATAGAATAAATATATAATACAATGACAGAGCAGATAATTAAAGTTGAACAAAGCAAGATAATTTAGGGTTATTGACAGGTGAAATGCTTATATAAAGTTAGTTTAACAATACAAGGAAATAGGAATCAATAATTCATGTTTAAAGCAAAACAAAGCTAAAGAAAAATATATACATATATTTTTTTTAATTGATGGCAAATACAAATATACAATGATTAATTTTATGAATAAAGCTGAGCAATACAAGAATTCTGACTGACTGGGCTAATAGCACAAAGAAAAGAATATAATAAATTTATAGAGGAAAAGGAATAATATTTAACATGTTACATTATTGTTACTGAATAGATTAATATTAATAAATAATGAATAAATTCAGGCCTATGCTGGCTCACAAACCTACTCCTGCCTACAGCCTCTTCTCGTGAAGAGAAGAGGAGGGGGGATGGGCGAGAAAGCCAGCCGGGTTCTTAGTGCCGGACGTACCCTTGGTTTATAATTTATATACTCGCGGTATATATAGAAGTACAGTCCAGGCCCTGTTTGTAATTAATTCTAAACGATTACTTGCAAGTTAGCTTTTACACAAATAACACAATCAAGGACGTAAGGCACTATAGATGTTTACTCGATGAACGCGGCTGACTCTCTCTCGAGTACCGACTGTCTAGTGGCGACTGCGGAGTGCGGACTGCTGAGTCTGCTCTGCTCCCTAAAGTTCTATAGAGAGATAAAAGAGCTGTCATCCTCCCCCTAAGCATTCTAATTCCATATAATTCGAAACTTATAGAGAACGACATAATTATTAGTTCGCAACAGCACTTAGCCACCGATTTTTATAAACTGTATATAATAAGTGAAAATGGTAGCTTTTCCCTATTTTTATATACCGTTCTGGGTTATGAGAACTCATTTACTGTAAAATCGTTATGAGGCACTCATATATAAGATAATTTGAGAGACTGTGATTTTTATGATTAATTGACGTAGAGTTTTATGGGATAGTCACTAATTCATTGGTTTGTGTACACAATACTAAAACACATACTTGCCTTCTCAACAAACTACCTGGGAAATGACTACACATGCGGCTGCCCATGTATGTAGAGTGTAGACGGTTTGTTGTCGTTCATCCCGCATTGTGAAACGACAGTATACAAATTTGAGTGCTTGATCAAAGTCATTGCCAATATTTTGTCCCTTGAAACTTGAGAAAAGGACATAGGCACAGACTGTTAGGAACACTGTTCTTCAACCGGTCGGACAAAAACGAGTTAGCGTGGGACAACCAGAAAATACCGTCTCACCCCTATATATCTTAATATCAATTTCAATAAACCATATTACATCCCACCATGCACACCGCAAAATGCGCTTTCATTATAACCAACATCAACATTGACCCAGCGTCATCATATATACTGCGTGTATATATATACGAGCGAAAGCTTTCAACAAGTCTAAAACTCGTTCAAAACAGCGCTGTTATGTGACGGGGACGAAAGTTCAGATATAAATTTTGATCCTAATTGAATTTCCATTTTTTAATTGATTATTGTTATAGGTATCTGTTAACCGCGTCAATATTTGACTTAATTATGCGGATTTTTTTTATTATATCCTTGATGATTGCATTGATTATTTGGCTTACCCTCAATTGTACATAGAAGTATTTTTATTTATTACTGCACCCATGCTTCACCTTTTCTCGATTCTAAAATAATCAGGCTAACTATTACATAAATTGTAATTCATACGCCAATAAACATAATTTTATATTAGAGCGCCGCAGACGGTTCCGGAGAAGTGTCGATTCAGTCATGTACGACAATGATCCTAAAAATCTGCCAACCACTAAACACGGGTACTAAACACAACTCAATGAAACTCTTTAGATATTTTCATAAGCACCTTTCGACAATATTTAGAGGGTACGAATTTATTTTCGATTTTGCCTACATGCGCGAGTTAGGTGGCAATGCGGGTGTGAATGTGACTGGAAAAATTGAAGGTGTGTCGTTAACTTGCTGTTCCCCCTGAGAGGTCTAATCGTTCCTGTCCTATCATATATATGTTATATGCCAGGCGAGGGATAATAAGCAACAATAATACCTTCGTAGCTGTTGTTTTTTGTCCTAACCAAGTAAGTATCTCTAAGAAGTTTCGCTCTGATGGCATTCTGTGACTAACACAAGACAAAGTTCCATTCGCTAACATAAATTTGGTCTAAGCAGAATAAAGCCGCGTACATGAGGTATCAATAATCAAAGTAATAATTTTCATTGTAATAAATTCAGATACACACATTATTTTTAATGGCTGATATGAATTTTAAGGTATCAATTATATGTGTGTCAGTTTAATATACAAAATTTTGAGCTTATAAACTGTCTACGGTTCGATGCCGTTTAATCGAGGCAATTACTTACGATAACTTGCGAGTCTAGTAACAATAATAAAATGCGTAAAAACATGCATGAAAAATCATGATAAATCACATTTTGTGAAACTTGACAGATTTTTACACCGCCCATTATTCTACGGTAGCTGCACAAAGTATATCTTTTAAACTAATACGAACAATGGAATCACTGTAAAAACAACTAGTTTTCTAAACAATGTAACAAAATTTAACAAAGTCACTTTAGGTCTTGATAACGAAGCTCTACTTTCAAATAATAGATTAACACAAACTTTTGAATTTATTGTATACTTCCGACACTGACAAGGGAAAGTGAATCTCGCGTCAGTTAGTAGAGTTGATGAACAGGACGACCTGATCTGCCAGTTCCACGCCGCGCTGCTCTTGTAGGAAATGACCTCCACCGTGAATCTTGTGCTTTAAAATAAACGGTAAGTTTGAAAAACTTAGGTTCACAAGGTTGACTAGATCCTACGGTTAATTGAAGTAATATATGAATGGAAACAATTATGTCTTACCATTCTGCCTCACCTTCGTATTCGAAACGTAAAAATCAAGTAATGTTGCTGTTGCCTTCTTCGAATTATTATTCAATTTACTACTTGTTTTTCCCTGATATGTTCAACCAACTAATCACATACATTTTTTTGAACTTTTTGAAACTGTTCAAATTGAACAAGAAGTTTTTACTTACGAAGCACCAGCTTACTCGAACACAGAGCGAGTCTCTTCGATAGATATAATCAACATTGATATAATCAACATTGAATTGATAGAATCAATTCACATCAACAATGACGATAAAGTACCTACTCGATCATTACTTACGAGTGCTTAACTAAATGTTAACTCGAAAAGTACTCTAGTTGAATTCCAATACTCTGAACTCCCTGGATGGATTGTATAAGCACCTTAAAAACGCCATATCTTTCTTATTTTATAATGCAAAGCTAAGCCCGAATATTCAACTTACATTTTTTGCATGGGGAAGCATGGACTGGAAAGACTTCACTTGTGAACCCGTGATAGGATCATTGTCACTGAACATGATCAGTGCCGGCGACTTCCATACGTTCTGTACAATTGAAGATAAGACAAATACAGCACTTTGCAATACAGAACTACGTAAATCTAACTTTTCAGCTAACAAATTAACATTCCATTTCAATTATTCTGAAAAAGATAACTGTAGCATTCAACAAAACCACGTTACATTGTAAAATATTTTGTGCATTTTAAAATTAATAAGAAATTATAACTCCGGACATATCTTCAACCCCATTTCAAAGTCCATTATCGGCCTTTAAGCAAGTTGACAATTCCCAACGAAAATCCAGTAGCAGTGCGTAAATCGCCACCTACTCGATATATTCATATGAAATTTGACTCCTTATCACAATATACAGTCGCACAATTCACTCAACCTTGAGGAAGTCTCGTGTGGTCTGCATATCGCCGCTGACGAGCGAGGAGCTTGCCAGGGGCACCAGTAGTGGCCAGCGAGCTGCACCTCCAAGGTGAGCTGACGAAGGGAACGGCGCCTCATACAGCGACAGCACCTGGAAATTATGAGATTATTTGTAGCCAGAATAACGGAAGGATTTGCCAGAATTTGGCTAGTTATTTTGACATCACTTTATAAATAACGATAAGCATATTATTGCACAGCAAAAATATAAAATTGAAAAAATCTAGTATCACAGATAATGTTTTGTACAGTAATATTAATAATTTGTAGTAATATTGGAATCTATCGTAAGTTTACATAATTAAACTTTTGTCCTAGTGTCAATCCCTAACTTTAGGTAGACATCGTCATTGGCTCAAGAGTTTAGAACATTTCCCGGCTTGCTTGTACATTTGTTACCGTGGACAGTGGCCATATCAGAATATCAGCAAACACGTTTTGAGTTTTCCGAAACACTTCGTCTAAAGAAAAATAATTACATGCTATATAAATAGTACAAAAGGTTCAAATTGTGCAGCTAGAACTTACCTCATCACTGATATTCTCAATGGCGAAGCGGAAGATTCTCTTGACCGGTAAATGGGTGCCAAAAAGCTGGGCAAACGCCCTCCACATCAGAAATGGAGTGAGTTTGCTGAGCGTGTTGATGGAGAAGTCACCACCCACAGGGAGGCCAGTATTCATGATGACGAGTCTGGAGAAGCGGTCTGGGCAATCCTTGACGACACTCAGTCCTGTCAAGCCGCCCCAGTCTTGACACACCAAAGTTAGGTTTTTGACCTTGGCAAAACAAGTACCCACACAAAATATTACGTTGTTGTAGTTCAGCAGATGTTGTTCTTTGAGAAAATTATTAAAAAGGTGCTACCAGATCTCTTCCACATTTGTACATAAGAATCGCCTTTCCGGACCCCTGACAACAAAATTTACCATCAAATCAACGGTGTAGCCATAGGCAGCCCACTGGGTTCAACTTTTGCTGAATTCTAAGTATGGGAACTGGAAAGCCGAGTATTGTCGGACGCCAAAATCAAACCTGAGCTGTACTGTTGATACGGCGACGACATTTTTGTAGTTGTTCGGGAAGATGATCACATGACAGAGCTAAGCGTGACTTTAGAACTCAATTTAGTCTTGAAGTTCTCTTACGAATATGGACTAAATCAGTCTTTGCACTTCCTCATTATACTCGTACACGTTAAGGATAATATGTTCGCCACTAAAGCTTACCGAAAACCTACAGACGTTGGAAAAGTACTGAACAAAGTAAGCGAATGTCCACAATGATACAAAACCAGCACTATCCGCGCCCTAATATATAGATGATCTAAAGCCTGCACATACGCTAGTGACTTAATTAAGAACTGAACTCCAGATATGTAAGCAAAGTCTAGTAAACAATGATTATGCGAATAAAACTATCGATTCGGAATTCCCAAATTATCGAGCACGTCAAAACCAAACGGACAATGAGCCAACATGCAACGGAAGTCGTACGACGATTTATTACCAAAACCAGCGTCAAGGTGCCTGAATCCTAACAAGTCATCTAGATCAGACGGTTTCTACCCTAGATTACTCAACGAATTAACAATCATCCAGGCCGGCCCTTTAACAGTATTCTATAAAAAATTTCATCGAAGGGTTTTGCCAGCCGATTGGAAAGAAGCCCAAGTGACACCCCTGTTCAAAAAAGGTGACAGAAGTAACCCCGGTAACTACCGTCCTGTCAGTCTCACAAGTGTTGTGTGTAAGGTGATGGAATCGGTTGTGAGGGATAGGATTATCGATCACTTGACTGTTAACCATCTTCTATTAGACTGTCAGCATGGCTTTATTGCTGGCAGATCATGCACCACTAATCTTCTGTCTAACTTGAATAATTGGACTCGCCAACTGGACGAAAGGGAGCCAGTGTAAACACCCCTGTTCAAAAAAGGTGACAGAAGTAACCCAGGTAACTACCGTCCTGTCAGTCTCACAAGTGTTGTGTGTAAGGTGATGGAATCATTTGTGAGGGATAGGATTATCGATCACTTGACTGTTAACCATCTTCTATTAGACTGTCAGCATAGCTGTATTGCTGGCAGATCATGCACCACTAATCTTCTGTCTAACTTAAATAATTGGACTCGCCTACTGGACGAAAGGGAGCCAGTGTATGCAGTGTACTTCGATTTTGCCAATGCATTTGATAGTGTTCCGCCAGATGACTAGAGGCTATAAGACAAACGAAAGAGTCCTCGAACCGATTGTGCTGAATAACATCAGAAACACAACATCCCTCAGAATCCATGCAAAAAGTCGGGAAAATTATAAGAAACCAATGTTTTTACAAATATTCATGCCGCAAAAGAGGTTGTAGACTTCTCCAGAATGCTAATTACATCCGTTCCGTTGACCAGTACGACTTAATTTGAGCCGCAGCCTATCATGCCACCTCCAGACCGGAGCACCGATCGAAGAACCACATGAGAGAGGCTCATAGTGAGACCCTCACTCGCGGGACGTTGGAGCCCTAGACCAGTATCGTCATGAGGTACCCCGACGCCACAAGACGGGCGATTTCTGAGGCCCTCATCATCAAGGATGAGTCTCCAAAATTAAATTTGAAAACTACCGGAATTGTCGGGACGTTGAAGCTGTTCTCGTAATTCAAGCTTTGCTTTCCCTTTGCTTGTACAAACGTCATTTCAAAATTTCGATTTCAAATGTTGCAAAACTCTTCCCCTACTTGATAATAAATGTAGTTGCATTAGAGACGTTATAAATTATAACAAAATGTAACTTGGAAACCTTATATATGAAATTTATTCTGTCAATTGATACATGCAATGTCTCCGACTTTACGCAAGTTTGCAAAATTTTAGATCGATTGGACATATAGGAGTGTGTTAAATATCTATCGATTATAAGATATGTAGCAGACAAAATTATTTTTTCAATTTTTTTAATATCAAAAAGTAAAAATTTTTAAATTTTCAAAATAATTTATTCTGTTAATTGATTCATGCATTGTCTCCAACTTTATGCAAGTGTGCAAATTTTCAGATTGATTGGTGTGTCAAATATCGTTTATAAGATTTGTAGCAGACAAAATTATTTTGAATTTTTTTAATATTGCAAAAAAAATTTCAATTTTTAAAATTATACGTTCTGTTAATTGATTCTTGTATTGTCTCCAACTTTACACAAGTGTGCAAAATTTCAGATCGATTGGACAGGTATAAGTTTCTTAAATATTGATTATAAGATTTGTAGCAAACAGACAAACAAACAACAAGTAGTGAAGTTAAAGCGAAGTGGTGTGTGTACAAATAAAATTTTTTTAAATTTTCAAAATTATTTATTCTGTCAATTGATTCATGCATTGTCTCCAATTTTACGCAAGTATGCCAAATTGAGGTAGAAGTGTGTTAATTAAATATCGATTATAAGATTTGTAGCAGACAAACAAACAAACAAGAAGTGAAGTTAAAGAGAAGTGTAATAATAAACGTTTAAAAATTACTTTTTAAGGACAACACTTCTAAAGAATCCAGTGTTTCCAATGTTACGGATGTAGAATGAATTTCTAATTTTATTTTCGAATATAAAAAATAATAAATTTTTCAATTTTTTTATAAAATTTTTTCAAAATTATTTATTCTGTCAATTGATTCATGCATTGCCTCCAACTTCACACAAGTGTGCAAATTTTCATATCAATTGGACAGGTAAAAGTGTGTCAAATATCAATTATAAAATTTGTAGCTGACAAAATTATTTTTTCAGTTTTTAATATTAAAAAAAAAAAGAATATTTTTTATTCATAAAATTATTTATTTTGTCATTCGATTCATGCATTGTCTCCAACTTTACGCAAGTGTACAAAATTTCAGCTCGATAGGATAAGTAGAAGTGTATTAAATTTCGATTACAAGATTTGTAGCAGACAGACAGACAAACAAGAAGTGAAGTTAAAGAGAAGTGTTGTAAAAACTGGCATTGAACGCGATCGTGTCCATTTGCAGATGTGAATCAATCAACATAAGCTTAATTGACGTATTTTCTGGTGAAAATTGAATTTTTCTCATGTTTTTACGTCGACTTAATCACATATTTTCAAATGAAAAAAGCAAACCTGTTGTTATTAATCCAGAAAATGATCGCCAGTTTCTGACACAAAAATATATACAGTTATGTGTTTCGTATAGCTACCGCAAATCGGTTAAATTTTCCAAGGCCAGGAGCCAATTATTTTGAAAGGTCTCACAAAAACACAACATCTGTCATCAATTAGTTCCGACTGAACAAGTTCGTAACATTTACAAAAGAAATGAAGTTTGCAGACGCCTTATAACAACGTTTAAACAGTTTGCCGTGTATATTTTTCGATGTCGCGGTGAAAAAAAAATTTAGTATCGATTCATCGAGTATATAGATTATTTGTTAATAAGATGAACTTTGAACTTCGTTTGTTAGTTAATAGATGAACTTCAAAAACTGTTTGTATTGCAATGATGCAACACATCAACGAACTTTGATGGCCTAGGATCCGCATTTGCCATTGTATACATCAACGCACGTTCATGTATCATTTCTAATAATTATATTATCTAAGGGGACGATAGAGCTACTATTGAGTACCGCACCGGGTCTTCTGTGATGGAAAAATGCAGCCTCAATCATGTTTGGTTGTGGCAGTTGGCTCGGCTTCTACTTAGAAATCCTGGTAAAGCTTAGACGCAGCACGCGTTTAAAGTTTCAGTTCGATAAATTTATTCGGGATCTTGAAGTAGCACCTCGAATGTAGCACTTTAAGAGGCTGCTCTTGTACCTAGAGCTCACGTCATCGGTTACGGTTCAATTATTGTTGATCCTCTTCTTCGGATTTGACAATTGGACGGTTATAAATAGCTGCGGCGAATAGATAATTAGCAGCATACCATAGTGGTGAAACTTTTATAGCGATAGCTACCCGTGGTACTCTCTCACATTCTTTAAACTATGACGTCACCTGAGTAAACGATGTTATGAGTTCGTATCCACTTGAAACCGTTGAAACCTATGCGATAGGTTTTGCATTCCTTAGGCAATTTGTAGGTCCTATTTTGGTCAAAATCGTATTAATGAAGTTTTTGTACTGATGATGGAACTGGACTCCGATAAGTTTTCACTGCAGACAAAATGAATTTTTTGGCGTTTTCTTTGATTTAAATGCTTAGTTCATATGACAAGTTGCAACGAATCCGACATTTCCTAATCTAAAGTAGAATTGACTTTGCATGTAAATTTAAAAACAACCCACACTTTATCTAACTATGATAATTTGGAATTTTGGAATTTATGCAGAATTTGTCACGAATTTTTATAAAACATTGAACGAGTATAAATGCATTGACCAAACCTTCATTACCGCATTTCTTCTAACAATAATTAATGCTCTGTGAGTCCGTCTGAGGAAAGTCTAATTCTCAGCTCGGATTTTTTTGTAGAAGGCCGTAGACTGATTTTCGGATAGATAAAACATAGAATAAATTTTCATCTAGATGCATTACTTAAATATTGATCGAAAAGAGGGCTAAATAGTTTCCACGTTGATTAAAATGATTGGATGTGCTACGTATACTGATTTTTTAAATGTGTTCTAAATTCACGTAAAGAAAAGAGCACTTTTTGCCCTCATGTGATCGATGGTGCCCTCATTTTGATGGTGACTCCGAATCTTAATTCCGCACCAAAGGATGGGCAACTCAGACGTCGTCCACCGCATTTAGATCGGGTCTCTATAAACAAAA